ATTTGCTGATCTGAAAGAAGTAGTGTCGCGTTGACATGGAGACTCTTCTCATGAGGTCGTGAAACTACATAGTAAAGGAGGCACAAGGCCATAAAGTCTGATGGTGCGATAAATTTTTCATCGCTTAAAGGACGAATTCACGATTAGATGAAGGTGGAAGAAGGAGCAATTCACCTAGTTGGGATCCGCGGACCTCCTAAGGCGTGAGACTATCCTAAGCGGACTGAAGCGCATTTGCACCGAAGGAGTTGACCTCGGCGACCTATTAAGGCTCAATCTTGGCGCGGTGGGCCAGTGCACGCCCACCGATCATCTGATCACTCGCCGCAGGTCTATACGTGGAGTGATAGATAGATGAGAGAGCGTAGTGTTGAAGAGGGCACAGCGATGATAGTCGCATCAATGCTCAAATCAACGGGCAAGGAAGGGGTCCCATTTCTCGGGTTCTGGGCCGTTTCTCATGGTTTTTCCTTCTTTGGTGTACCACTCACCATCGCTAAGGTAATTCTGAAATGGGTTGCCTTTCCAGCGTCAATTCGTCCTTTGAAGGTAAAATCGAGGTGGTAGGTATCGTGAAGAAGAAATTAACGAAATGCCCCCAACTCTGAATATAAAATTTTATTTGCTCGTCGGCATTGGAAACTATCGCCCATCTGCCTGATGTCTGTAATTTATAAAGCATGCCCACCTATTCGATTCCGCTGTCCTTCCTGCCCTAACCTACGCCTCAGAGACTTGGACTCTGCGCAGGCAGGACGAGCATGCGGTCAGCGTTATCCAACGCGCTGTCGAGAGGACGATGCTAGGAGTAACCCTATACACGCAAGTGCAGAGGGGAATCCGGAGTGCCGAACTACGCCAACGATCGAAGATCAGGGACGCTGCCGTTTTCGCCAAGGAATCGAAGATAAGGTGGGCCGGACACGTCATGCGATTTTGCGATGACCGTTGGACCAGAGCGGTTACCGACTGGATCCCTCGGGACGTCAAACGAACACCTGGACGACCGCCGGCCCGATGGTCAGACTTCTTCACGAAAGCTCTGAACGAAAGGAACATCGTGTCCCTTGGGCTATTACGGTCCACGGGCAACCCTGGCACGCGACAGGGACGAATGGAGACGTTGCTGGCGCCCGCTCGAGCAAATCGACGATCAACGAAACGGGCAGCTGATATTAGTGATTGGCTCTGGATTTCTGCTCCGCGGAGATGCTATGGATGACATTTTCAATGTGCATCTCTAGGCTCTCTCGCTGTATCGAGTAATCCCTCACGCCTTCAACCAATCACTGGATGAGTTCGCCACTTGAGGGCGGGGGCTCTCTGTGAATGGCGTTTACCTCTATAATCAAGAAAGAAAAAACCTTTCTAAACGAAATAATTAAAATAAGTACTGTCACAATCGGGCCTTGGTGTTCAAAATTGAAACTAAATGTGCCGGGACTGCTTTTGCAGGAAAATTTTCCAAAAAAAAGAATCGTCAAAAAATGGTATGAATAGGAGCCTTTTTGCAGTACATTCTTAATGTAACAGCTTAAAGAGCTAAAAAGGAAACACCGGACGGCAGGCTGAAAAAGCAGCGTCGAAGAGACGAGGGAGCATAGAATGAGCTCTTTCTCCTCCCTGCGTTAGGCTGCTCATAACTTCCACCGGTGCGGTCAGGTTAGGTCGGCGCGGCGCACCGACTGCCACCACGCAACCCCGCGAAGTATACGATCCCGCGCAGTCGCACGGTCCGCTGCCTTTGTCAGCCGTCGCCACTTTTCTCTGTCCAGGGCATCTTCTACCGTGGCCGTGAACTCACTTAGGTGTTCTCAATTGCGTCTCCTCACCTCTTCTTTGGGGATTCCTCGCGGTCGCCTTGCAGCGATTCATCACTATTCTTATCGGATGATTCTGTGGCCTCACGTAGCACGTGCCCATACCATCGAAGGCGCTAGAGCCTAGAAACACAGCGTCAATTCCAGACGAGATTTGAGAGAGATTTAAGGTATCACAGGAACATTGGGCCACAGCGGCTCTTACAAGATTGTGTCTCGGAAGTGGTACAACGGGAGCGCGCGAAAGCCACTCAACCTTTCACACATAAAAGCTTCATCTCTTGAAAAATCGTAGAATTGTATCTGTTAGAAGACGGCGAATGTAGAGACAGACGATGTTGAGACATTTGCATATGCTTGATTTCTGAGTACGGTAGGCGCGCAGTGTACGCAATCATAGCTATGCTGATCTACTCGTTTTTTGAAGAGGTGATTATCCGATTCACTTTCGGTGCAGCGATGGTGAGAGCCAGTAGGACTATGCCAAGAAAAGGGAGAAAATTCAGTAACAGCCAAATCGCTTGCACATATCTCAATCCCCTGCTTTCAAAAGCTTGGTCTCAGGTGTTACCTTGCAGGGTTTGGCCCGAATGGCGCTCTAGCCTAGGTCTTTCGAGGTGTATGTTTAGGCAAGAGCATTGATACAGATAGTCCAGCACGAAGTACGTCAATGTTTAAAAATAAAGGATTGCTATGGGAAGAAAAAAGGAGAGAAAGAAGTCTAAAACAGAGCTGAGCAAACCTTTTCCTGATGGTGGTTCACGCATTAACTTGCATGAGAGAGAGCGTGCAGACAGAGCTAGAGACAATTCACTTGTGATGAAACGCAGACATACAACGGTTGGCGTTATCTTGCCCATGGTGGTAATACCGGAGGCCCTGTCCACGCCATTTCGACTCGTCGCGAAAATTCGTATTCTCGTTGGGAGCCAGCTAAACCTTATTCTTGCAGGGGTTTGGTAATGGTTTAAACAAGCTTTAAGGTGTTGCTGCAAAGGAGAATTCCACAATGAGACGGAGGTCGAAGATGCGAAAATTTCACCTTAGAGGAGGAGGCGGACCATTTTACCAATTCGCATCGGCCTATAACCCCCGGCGCATCTAACGATGAGCATCCTTTGCCCGCTTCAGGGCCGCGGAACGCCCACCGACTGTCTAACCACTCGCCGCAGGTCGATACACAACGAGTGATTAGATAGCAGAAAGACGATTGGCATTGAATAGGGCACAGCGATGAATTCGCATCAATGCGGAACTTAAAGGAATCTTCCACGGAAAAAGCTCCGCCTCCATTACCACAGAAAAACGATACCTTAGGCCCCTAGCCTCATGAGCATAGCAAAAAGAACGGAACATAAGCGTTAGTTTCGATAATACTAATCCTACACACAAGACAAAATGATCACTCTTTCCGTGGAAGATTCCTTTAAGGTATCGTTTTCTGTGGTAATGAGGGCGGAGCTTTTTCCGTGGAAGATTCCTTTAATGGCCAAGAGAAGGGCCTCCACTTCTCGTGTTTCAGGCCGTTTCACATGGTTTCTTCTTCATCCCTCTTCCACTGGCCACCTCTACACGTATTTCCAACGAGCTAACTTTTCGTCGTGAACTCTGCCTTTAAGTAAAAATGTTCACGCGTTAAGTGGTCAAGAAATTCCAGGAAACACTGTACGAGGCACCGTTGTGAAAATTTTGGGACTTGGGTGACACCCTCACCGTGCACCCGTCCTGGAAAAACTTAGTCCACCTTCAAACCATTTTATTTTTATTCTAGTTAGATAAGAGAACTCCGACCGGGGCTATGTTTGTATACTTCAAAGGGAGGTTCTTCACCCGACCCGATAACCCGAAACGGGTAAAATTACGAAATTTTTTGGATTTTCTCCCTATTCGTCAAAATCCCATGAAATTTTTACAGTTTCTCAAAAATTTCCTTTTCCCATTTCTTCTGGAAAGCCATGCCCATCTCACCCATACGGCCCTCTTGCGGACCACTCACTAAATGTAGAACCTGCCCTGAACGGTTTTTATGCCTGGGATTGATGAAAATTTTCTATGAAGATCCAATAAAAGCCAACAACTGCTCGGAATGATTTTTAGAGAATTTTTTATTCAAAAACAAATTTGTTCACAATCGATGAAGTTCAGAGAAGAGAAAAAAGACAGGGACATAAGCTAGCTATCAAGGGACTTACAACATAAAGAGCTATGCTCGATCAATGAAGGGACAAGAATGGGGTTGAAAACGGTTCGATGTGTAGATCACAAGTGCGATTCGTGGGGCGTGGGTCAAATCTTTGGGAAAAAGAATCAATAATTATACTTATTATTGTAATCGGATGACAGACAACATCACATTCGATGAGAAAGAAGTTCGAAAGAAGGCGAACAAACGGGAAAACGCTTTTCATTCTAACAAAAAATCGATTCGGTAATCGATCTAATCAATACAGAGTCACAGACATCACAGCAGGCGAGAAATGCTACGGAATTCGATCACGGCTTAAGAGATTGACAAAACACGCTATGTTTACCTAATCAGCGCTGAAATACGTGTAGCTTCGATCAATAGCATCGATCAATAACCAGAAAAATTCGTACATTCATATTCATACAAATAAACAACTATGATAGAACTGCGTTTTCCTCACCGGGGTTTTACCTACTACGTCAATAATCAATTAATTGTACAATTTAGAAAATACTTCAAAGATGCTCATTACCGTAGTAAATGCCTCAAAAGACATTCAAAATATACAAATCGATTAAGCAACAAAATCAATAATACTTCTGACAGAAACAAATCACATTAATAAAATGGAGCAGCCTCGATGAATGTGAATGTGGATTGCACGGACGCTGTGTGATATCAACCCGCTAGGAACAGAGCCATATCAAAGGGCGAGACAAAGTGACGAGCGCAGGCGTGTGCGAGGGGCGGAGCGCTACCCACGAGGGGCGTGGCTCCACACATGTCACGCACGCACGCATACGCGTCGCTCGTGTCAGCGCTCTTTTATACCCAGTATTATGCTAGTAATAACGCATCGAATGACCCCGTTCCCCACATGTCCGCCGCTGCCGCCACCACCCATACCCTGCGCTCACGAAACGACCCGCACGGCCTTTTGTGTGCATGTCACGTCAACCCCACCGTAAGAACGATGTTGGGAGATAAGACGTCAGACGTGCTGACAACGACGGCGTCGACGTTGACGATGACGATGACGAATCGGGCATGGCGTCGGCTAGCTGAGTCGTGGCTGCTCCGGCGCACCGTCAACTGGGTGCTTGTTGCTTCTGTTCGCCTGAAAAAGGATAATTTTGAATGTGCAGTAGAAAAATTGTAATTTCTCAGCCTGTGGAACGTCTAGATATACAAGAAAAGGCTCTAACTGCGCTGACAGCAACAAGAAGCAAAATTGGCCTGTGGTACCGCGACGCGACCGCGCGCGTCCGTTATTGCCCGCCACAGGCGGCGAGAAAAGATGAACATTCTCACTCACCAATCTCAAGAATCTCCGGATGTCGTTCAATAACACGCATTAGTATACCATTAATATACACCCGCAGTTTTTGATTACAGACTTCTTGTTCGCGGAGCGCTTCCAGAATCTATAAAAGATTTATTTGAAAAATATTACACACAAAGTGCCATGAAGAAAATAGAAACAAGTGAATCTAGCCGATACGGGGTGAAAAAACGGAATAAATGGAGTCCCAGATTCTCAACTCTCGGAAAGGGGACTGAACATTGTGGAAGTGGGAGCTCGAATCAGTGCCTCTATGTCATTTTTCAGCGGATTCAAAATTTAAATCTTTGAATTTTAGGCTGCATTTGGGAAGGGGACTAACATGACTCTACAGTGCTTCAGATGCGAATCGATTGATTGATTAGTCACCCGCCAAAAATGGAGGGAAGATTCTAATTGGAGCTAAATGACAAGGGTTAATCGGCCCTCTGATGTCCGCCTTTTTCTCCATTTTTTGGCTCAATCCACAGTCCTTCCGTCCCATCTCAGACGCCCCCTTTTTAGTCACGGTCTACTAATGGTGAGCCGATCAGGCCCTTCCAGTCCCCCTAAACTCGTTTTTTGCCCAGTGGAACCTCTCCGCTCTCATCTCGTTCTTACTTTTAGTTTGTAATCACACACCTGTTGCGAGTCTCCGCCTCCGCTCATGAGTTCGTCAGCCAATGACGGCTCGTCGGCCAGCAAACTCCGCCCTCGTTCGACACTGGCAGCCAATAATTGTGCTTGCAAGTCGTCACGTTCGCGTTGCAAGTCGCGAATGTCCGCACGTGCCTGCTCCAACGACTCTTCAAGGCCGCTCATCTAAATACAACCAAATTTGAGATGTGCTTCATCTTGAGAAAAACTACATTTTTTCCCCGGAAATCCGAGGAACTGCACCTATAGGACCGAAACCAATCAATTGTCGAAGCTGCTATCTAAAGCGCTTAGCACTAGCTCTCACCTGCTCGATTATCGACCCCTGTCTGGGCGCACCGTTTCGCCGCAATTCCTCCGTTTGCTGCGTAAGTACCTCGACCATTTCTGAACTGCTGTCAATGTCTTGCTGGGCTTCTTCTTTGAACCTAAACGCAAAAAGATAACTTATTCAAAAACGCATTTAGTTATTTTATACTCGACTGGGCGGAAGTGGTGTAGTGGCAAGTGGCACGCTTACCACGCGAGCGGTCCGGGGATCAAATCCTGGGTCGTGAGTCGCCCGGGCCAACCAAGCCTTCCATCCCTCCGGGGTCGGTTAATTGGTACCAGACTTGTCTGGGAGGATAAAAACACTGACTTGTACATCGGCTGGCCCCCGCAAGTCATTGTATAGGCCACATCGCATTCAAACGCCACTACGAATGTACAAATGGAAGTAGAATGCGTGCCGCATCCCAAAAAGGGATTGATCAACGGCAAATGCTTTATCCTTTTTCTGCTGTTTGAGAATTCTGGAAATTTGAGCAGGAAAGGGTCTGCAATAAAATCTACATGGTGCATGGTCTCAGCTGGTAAACGCCATGTATTCGCACGCCTTTTCAAAAATGTAGGGACCATGTGGTGCAATTCAGAGCCACGCAGAGGCTTGCAGGCAGTGGTACATATGACAAAATAGGGAACGGAAAGATGTAACGCCAAGAAGACGTACGTTAAGAAATCCTCTGCGGAGGGGGAAGGGGTGCATCTTATCCTATTGGGGGAAGTGGTTGTGGGTGCCGTAGCAGCAGTGAAGAGAACAGCAGTAAATTGATAGGAAGTAGTAACCACATCCGGCGCTGGATTAGAAATGGGCCCCTCCGAAGGTCAGCTCTACCGAAATTTCAAAAATACTGTGAGTTTCACAAAATCAGAGTTGAAAGTAAGCTTCTTTGAAGGGCTTCTAGCGGGCCCTAAGTTAGTTTTTGGTGAACCCTTGCGCAAGCCTAATCACACCTTAGATCTTCCACAATGATTCTACAATTCTAAGGGTGCTGAGTAATGCAGCCTTTACTCGCCTTTTGAACTGTCGTTCCAACTTAATGCGTTCATCCTCAAGATCTTCAATGAGCAACTTGTTCTCAGCCAGCTGTCCACGAAGATCCTCCACGACTTCAAGCTGTTTCGCCGTCTCCTCCCGGGCTTTCTCTGCCTCTTTTCTGGCCGCATATAAGGTCTTTTTCGAGCATCTGAAATAATTCTCACTCGATGTGTTCTCGAAGATTCAGGACATCTGGTCAAAATTGCGAAACTCCGCCCACCTGATATTTCAATGATAGGCTTTCATTCTCCAATTGTTTTTCACGCTCAATTCGCTGTAACAGCTCTCGTGTCCGGTTCTTCTCATCCTGTAGCTGTTCTCGAAACCTTAACATCAATCAATAATACGTATTTACTATTATATCATTGGAAAAAATATCCAGTGTAACAAGAAATACTAGCAAATTATAGCAAAAGGCCGAAAGGAGCTGGACTAGCTAATGACTAATGAGATAAAAGCGACAGGATAAACAGCGGCAAAATTCGGTTTACTGAGGCACGTAGTATGGGCGGAGAAAGGCTCGCTTTCATCGCCCAATAATTGGACGCCGTTGTCGACTGCGCTTACCTTTGCTCAGCGACCAACAGCTGTTCTTCGAGCACGTGAACACGCTCTGTTAGGACGGCGTTCTCCGTTCGAAGTCGACCACGTTCGTCGTTGCTGTGCAACTGCTGTTCTTCCATCTCGGAGAGTTTCTTCGAGATCATTGTCACCTAAAATTTTTAACATTTAAAAATTTAACAATTCAGCAGTTAGAAATTCGGAATTTTTGAGATCATCATCCATATATGAAGAAATTGGGCTCGAAGTAGTTTTTGCTCGCGTTCGAGCTAACCACTAAGTTGTTTATGCGTAGAAAAGATGTTCCCAAACTTTTATTTACTTATTTATTTATTTGTAAACATCATACGGCAGTCGTGAAGGCAAACCAAAGAGCATCATTCAAATCGTCCAGTACAGCTCTAAAAACTAACACTTATATGGCTCAAACAATCGTTGTTCACGAACTTGGTTATGGTTACGGGCGAGATGCGCCATGCATTAGACTTCTACTCGGAATTACAAAGACAATTAGGGGCATATGTATCATAGACGACGAACAGTTGACATTCAATACAAAAGTCAGCGCTTCGATCGTAATTAACGAGCTTGTTGACGGTTTTGGTTCGGTTAGCGGAAGCGGGACTCGATCCTGGGACCACTAGTGTGGAAGCGGCATTTGGTGACTGAGAGAACAAACATCAATTTTATCACTTTCCCACATTAAATCCAAAGCGAAAATCAATGGCGAAGCAGGACAAGTGAGGGAGCTCAAATGAAACTCGCATTCAGAACTGTTTCGGCCTCCAGCTTATTTCACACGAACGAGTTTTCAAGGATGCTTCCCGCTCGTGATGGGTTCTTGCTTTCACAGTTGTTACTACCGTGAAACAGGATGAATCTGCGAATTGGAGGGCGAACCAAAGAAGCTAACGTGCCAGCAAAAAGGCAAAGGAAAGTTGTTGACGTGAATTAAACGCTCTTCGAGAGCGCGCCACGCATTTCGTTCCCATTGAGAATTCTGTAAAAAAAAAAAGCGTTTATGGGCAAGATCCCCAGAAGTTGACCACTCGACCATACGCATGCTAAGGCGCAGCCATTTTGCAGCCACACAACCTTCCCACCCGGCCAGATTGGGCACTGCGACAAGTAAGCGATTTCGAGGGCAGTATGAACCCTGATGGCATACTACACGAGAGCGTGGCAGGTTGGTTCGACCCAGAATTTACCAAATTAATGAAAATGAATGGCGAAAGCACACGGCATGTAGGCCGCACCATTTTCAACCACATATCCTCCACCCGTCAGTATAGGGCACTCCCACAAGTTAGTTCTTTGTGGAGTGGTCTGGCTAATGGTACACCACATGAGAGAGTGCAGTGCACTTAAATGAAATAAGAACTGCTTGGTGAAGACCATTCATTTCAACAACTACATACTGTAACTAATTCAAGCCAACTAATGTTAGAAGATTAAAAATTAATTCGATTCTCATGAGCAGAGGGCAGAGCATTTTGTAACGCGACGTAGCCGCAAAACCTGCTGCTTCGCTTAGGGCTGATTTAAGAGAGAATTTTATTGACTTTTTCTGAAACTTCATAGTATCGGGTTGGGGGTGACATTACGAGGTATCATTCCAAGTAATCACGATCTCCCAAATACACTGATTTAAAAAATAGCTTGTAGTTTAGCCTAGAACAAGATGACGATTAGCGAAGAAACCGATCGATAACTAGAATGAATGTTCCTGAATGGAAGAGAAGCGGGGGAAGAAACGGAGGAACCCGCAACACAGTTCCCACCACTAGACACAATAAAAAACTAGTTCAAGCGTGTGACGGTCGCGCGTGCGCAAATAACGATGAATCCACCTGTGTGGGTGGTTTAGAGGTTAGAGATGCAGACATTAGACGATTAGTCAGCAGATCAACACTCGCGGGTCGTTACGTGGGCTATAATGGCTTGGCTGGAATGGTGACATGAGAAACTGGAGGAAAACACCGCGTGTACCGGCTTTGGTCGGCAGAAACGCCACTAGCGGTGATTGACTCCGACATCAGCTGTAAGATCCCACAATTGAAAAAGTTAGCGCGTCAAAGAGTGATTGATAGAGAGGGGGTGAGGGACGCAGAGGAACATCTGCCGGATGTGATCCGTTCAACTTGGGTCACGTAGAAGTCGAGAAAATTAGGCAAAGAATGTTCTGGAGAAAATGAAAAAATCTTGGGTTCTATTCCAGTTAGGGGGGGGCATCATGATGCAGTTTTTCCAAAAGCTAGGGTAACTCCGAGCCAGGGGGAGTGTAGCCAGTCTAGGGGGTGGGGGGTGAGGGCAGTCACTTGACATGCGTGAAAGCTGGAATGTTCGAGTTCACACTAGTTCGCCGAGAAACTGCATCATGATGCCCCCCCTAACTGGAATAGACCCCTAAAAGCCCAAAGGATTCGGCGGCGATCGACCCCGTTTTGGCCCTGCGCCACGCGATTCTGTCTCTAGTCAAAAAATCAACGCACTCCTTTGGCTACATGGGCTTGCGGGGCCATCCAATGTACATAAAAGCGTTTTTATACTCCCAAACAAGTCTGCTACCACTTCACCCACTCTGAAGAATGAATGGTTTGTTCGACCTGGATGGCGTTCGACCGAGGAATCGATCCCCGACCGAGCGGCGTGATAGCCAGCGCCACTTGCGCATTACACTATTTCGGTATCAATGGGCCTATTTCCGCCGGCAACATCCATTGTTTATTGCTCTTTCGTCACTATTCACTCACTTTCTATGATGACGCCCTCCCCATGCAATTTCTCCCTTTTTTGGATATCTCCCTGGGGTTGCCTGCAGAGAAGCCAACGCGCCAACTAGCGACTGACCTCTACTGTGAGGTCCAACACTAGGTAAGATCGATAGTTAAGCGCTGCAATTTGTTTATAGGGGCCAGTTTTTGTGGTCGAAACTTTGCGGCCGGGCCTCTGCGGAAAGCGCGATGGTAATGTGATCTTCAAGCATATCTGTCTTCTTTTTTAATAACCTTTCTCTCGAAAGAGCTCCTACCATTTGCCATGTAGGCCGTATGTCAGACTTAGCGAATCGCGCGTCGCTACCGTCTGCGGTCGCGTCGCGGCGGAGTCACTCATTGGCTGGTAGCCGGGGTAACGCGATCCCCCCCACCCCCCTCCCCCCCCCCCCCCGCCCCCCGGCGGACGTTTAGCGATACTGCGGCGAATCGCTAGTAGCGAAATAGCGCGCTTCGCAAGGCTGACATCGGCCATCTGCATTCCATAACCCAAACAGCGGAAGTGTAAGCGCGTACAAGTCTACACGATCTGACAGAACAATCGGAACCTAATGCAGCATGCTACAAAACAACACTTTTCCCTCGCATAAATTGCGAGAAAGACGCAGAAAGATAAAATCCAGCTGTGTTTTTTGATTTGTAAAAAATGACGCCACTGCACGTACCTGATTGGTGATATCATGCATATCCGTATCGGAGAACGAGATGAGTTCTGGATCGGAGCCAAGGGAGTCACGACGTGAACGAGTACCGTAGAGACGACTCGCCACTGATGCACTGCTGGCTGATGAGCCGTGCAATCGCATAGGAGAGTCCTGAAACGATTTGTTTTTGATGAGCGGTACCATAATCATGTCCTCTAACTAAAACACTGGCCGTGTCACGCCTTCATAAGAATGTGAATTGAAACGGGAAATATTTTGAGCAGAAGAAAATTACTCAGAGTAAAAATCCAAAATTCAGCACGAAAAAAAAATTTCCAAAGAAAATTCTGGATTTATGATTGGCGAAATTCCTCAAAACCAGAAATGGGAATGAGGGGAAAACACGGGGGATTGGGAGTGGGCGATTTCGGTAATCCGCCATAATCGGCTCCACCTTTGTCGCTTGTCAACCACGGATCACTGTCGTCATAATCACGTAAACAGTTTCAGGGGATTTTTACAATATACGAAATTTGTTTTCAATTTATTATTTGCTATTTTTGGCAGCAGTTCGTCATGCGTAAAATATCACGAGATTGCTGGGTTGTGGGTAAAACTGCTCGCCCAGGGCGAGAATCGAACCCGCACCTCTCGTATGCCAGGCACCTGCGTTACACGCAGGGTGCGGGTTCGTTCCGTCTTGGGCGCTTTCGCCTATAAGTCAGTATTCTGTTTATAATATGCAATAATCAACCCAAAAAAAACTAAAACAAAATATCGAAATCGACTTAAGAATACAATTTAATTAAAAAATAAACACGGAATAAACTAGCTTGGAAAAATTCACTTCTCCAGCGGAAACTTTGCCGAAAGGAGCTTCTTCTCAATCACATACACTGACCATGAAATCCAGGATGCGCCATGATCCCAAGAACCCTTTTGGAAACGTATCAGCGATGGATTGTGTACCACAAAGTAAAATGAAAATTATTTGTAGCCGTTGCATTTATTTGTGTAAAGTTGAGCTTATTCGCTAAATTTCTAAGCTTAACGTGGTCAGGGTGAAAACCACTCTCAGCTGAATCGACGAGCGGACTGATTGGCCTTGACTGCGCCTACTTAACTGATTCGATCAATAATTTCAGGAAAGGAATTGAGCCTCCAGGATTGCGCCATGCACTTGATATTGACTGAAATGCCAGCAATGAAGCAGAGGTGCAGGATGGGACTGTCTTCTATTATTCAGTTCCATGGGGCGGAAAGCTCGGGGTACGCGTAGTGAGCCGGGTAGGCAAACCCTGGAGCCAAATACAAGCGCCAGATTTGGCTTAACTTCAGAAATCGAATAGGCAATAAGAGTTTGGTAAGGAAACGGCGTCAGCGACGGTCGTGTCATCTTCGACACGTTTTTCGGATGCCTGTGCATGAGACCAAATGACAAGACTGACATTGACGGAGGCTCTGCGCAAACATTCACAGATGCCGTTTTTATCTGCAGCTATAAATGTGTATGAAGGCGACGGTACCTATATTTGCCTAGCTGTTCCCTCAATGCAAAAACGACATGTTTTCAGACGAATTTGCTATCGAAATCGCTCGTCCGCGACCTCGCACACGACTCAGCTGCTTCGCTGGAGGTTTGTGTCGGTTGTGCACCGAAAACGTGTCACAGCTTCCGAAATGAAGTGGTAGGGGATCGATAAAGCATTCTGCGATGATCGGTCCCTCTTGGTATTAAGGCGTTGGAGTTCGGCCTATGCAATGACTTGGAGGGGGTTGGGAGGGGGAGTGGTGGCTGTGTACAAGTCAGTGCTTTCGTCCGACCAAACTAGTCTCCTAGCGACCAAGTTACCCGAAGGAATGGAAGGTTGGTTGTATAAGGCGAGATCAAGTTCGAAGTTTGGCCTTAGGTAATCGCATCATTAGATGAAGATTGGTCGAATTCCTGAAATCGCGATGGACAGTTCAACTGCGAGCAATGTAATAGTTCATAGATCATATGCTTTCCTACGCAGATCGAACTAGCATGGAGGATGAAGCGAAGGCAGGCGGAAGTCAGTGCTACATACCGTACACATACCTATGCAAGCATCTTCGGTCTTGAAGTTCTAGTTGTGAATTTCCTATTCGAAGTGGAGGGCTCACGATGGTGTCATGTCCGCAGGTATGCCACTGGCAAGCAGAGACTCAACCGACTCTCACTTCAAAAATGAGGCTGAAGATTTGATGGAAATCAAAAGTTTGCTACATCGTTTCGATTCATCATGGTCAAAACTATCTGATGGTATGAATTTCATATCATTTGGGTCATATTTCCAGGAGTTACAACAAAACGACGGTCTGCTCCCGGATATTGTTGGTCTCAGCATTTCGGGCGACTGAACAAAAATCAGGGGCGGTATTGTATGTGCTGTGGAAAACTGAAAACTGCTGCAAAATGAGTAGAAAGGGTTTCAATTTGGGTAAGTTATCACTTATAAATTGGTGACCTTCACTGAGATAACCTCGCAAAATAAGGCAAACCAAGGCATACGGAAAACGAAATACGCGCTACCGGAAATCGGAACAGAGAACTGTTATCGAATAGTCGTGAACAGCTGTGGTCGTAGCAAGTTGAGCTACGAACACGAGTTAAAACAGGCTGATGGAACAACTCCGGAATTCGCAAAATACAATTCCGATAATAGGTAGAATGATATTTTCGATTAGGATATTTATTTATTTATTTATTTATTTATTTATTTATTTATTTATTTATTTATTTATTTATTTATTTATTTATTTATTTATTTATTTATTTATTTATTTATTTATTTATTTATTTAAGAGGTGCACCAACGTCCCATGCAGAAAAAAAAACAACCAGTAAACACAACGATGGTGAGAACTAAGAATGAAGGTGAAAGGCTAAGTTGGAGAAAAACCGTCCGCAGTGCAGGATGAATTATTGTGAATAACTACATTCATTAATTGTTAATTTTTTATTAAATTAATTATTTGTTAATTTTTATTATTAATTATTAATATCAGTAAAAACGAAACAAAATTAAAAAAACAGTTCGATTTACATGGTGAAAAATATACATTTTGGATTACTATATGAAATAAACAATTACAAAAGACCATTAGTAATATTAAAGTTGCGTAATCAATGTGGATAAATTTGAAATAAGCTCAGGTAAATAAATCAGGTAAGCAAAAATGTAAAGCTCAATTATTGTCGTGACAAGGCAAAACGAAGAATAAGTGGTCCTCAGAAGGAATTACCTGCTCTAGGGCTTTTCGCTGAAGAATCGGCGACTTGTCGGCCCATAGGAAGCGTGCGCGTAAGTTCATGCGTCATTTATGGGACAACTAAGCCAGATCGCCAGTTATAAAGAGGGGATCGTCAGCGATACCTTATCACTACTAGTAACGCAATAGCTGGTAAGTCGAACGCTATCAGCTTGATTTACGACTACGCACGCGTAATACGTTCCCTTTTTAGCCCTGAGAAAACGTTGCTCTTTGGATAGCAACATGGAGGAGATGGAGACTGCGCCATGTATTTGACCAGCATTGTTTTCACGGAGGTGATCGATTGGTCATGGAGCCACTGCATTAATCAGACTCGACTCCATAATTTTTATACCTTTTATGGCGAACGAACAAGTTTTTTCACATGGATTTTTTGGCTTTCGGTTGCGTATGAGGAAATAAATAAATCAATAAACAAGTAAATAAATAAATAAAAATAAGGATGCACAACAAATAAATAAATGGCGAATAAATAAATAATACCAAGGTCAAGTGAGCGTCAAGAACGTGCGGTGAAACGGTGATGGTGCTCAAGGAACGGCTACGAAATGACCGTAGATAACGAGCACCTCTCAGCCTCGATTTTCCCCTACGCGCCCCTCAAAAGGTCCACTTTCAACCGGTTCAAGAGGCAGTCACGGTCACGAGACTGCACTACACTTCGACTCGGGAAAAACTGACCATCATATTTTCTGAACGGAAATCGCCACGCTTTCTCTTGGACACGCCCGTCATACATCGTAATTAATAGCCATTCCATTGCAAGGGTTTTGCAAAACTAAAGAGAAATACGAAATTGAGGCATTTTGCTGTATATTTTACCGGAAGCCATTTATGACGGAGCAATTTTGAAGAGTTGGGCTACTAAATGTTCAACCATTCTATTACCGTGATAAACAATTAACTACCATAAACTGGGTGTGACTACAGCAACCCACCCACATTTAAATCTCGGAATAACGCCATGGTTGCTAATAAGTACATATATGCAACTAACAGAACTCCAAAATATTACAAAATAAAAA